AACACAAGTGATGACTTTGCCGTCAAACCAGTCCTAGGTTCGTTGGTCAGTCTACAACTTTGGAATTTTAACAGTCTTTGGTTAAAAATTCATTCTCAAGTTCACAGGAGGCAGTAGAAATGGAAAATTTTGCTGGCCAAGTTATGGCTTAGGTGACTAGAAAGTCCAGCACTTACACTGGCTGCTCTCCTGCTGCAGTTACATTACTTCCTTGAAAAGAAAAGAAAAAAAAAGTTACCTAGCCCAAGAAATGCGAGAAATGGAAAATGGTCTCTGAGATAGTGGAAGCCATTGGTTAATCTGGAAAACAGTTATCTCCACTTTTGTCTCATCACTCCCATGAATGAACATATAAACACCCTGAGTTTGCTTAATGCCAGCTTTCTGGCCTGATTGAATAGCAAGTTGTTTTCAAAAAGCTTCRGCCATATTTCCTACAGCTTAAAATCCTGCAGCATCAATCTCATCTTTAACACCCACCCTGATACATATCAAGGTAGAAGCATTTCTCTTCACAGCATTTGTGTAGGAGATGAACATAATGGATTCRTTTTAAAGAGGACAAATGGGGATACATACAGATGGGTTAATGTAYTTCCCCAGTACCAGACTGGGATGACTGTGAGAGCTGGGAGGGGAGCCTGAATGTTCCAAAGCCCAGTCTGGAGTAGCCATGTCAGCTTCCCATGTGGGTCAATCCCTCTTGGCTGCCCAAAGGCTCATGTGAGGAGCTGAATGCTCTCAATGTTCATCTCAGCTGTCGTTACATCTGCATGTCCTACTGTGCAGTGTGCCTGTCTGGATTTGACTTCTTTGCAATGGCTCTGTCCTCCTGCCCCACTCAGTAACCGGTTCATAGCAGCTATGTTCTCAAGTTGTTCATGTATTTTCATATACTTTCATAAATTTTGCACAGCGAATACTGTTCAAAATGAGTGAGATTGCAAATCATATTCAGTTAACCTGAGGGATGTCTACTACTTGGTTTCTTCTTACCTGCTGCCATTAAGTTAGGACACAAGTTTACCTGTCTTCCATGTTATGTCTGAGAGCCCCAGACAGAWGTCTTGAATATCCTATAGCATTTAAAATGGTGCAAAGTAACTGCATTTAGATAATTGAATGTCTTGCTCCATCCCTTCTYTGCAGTGTGCACAGGTCTGTCTTGTGTTTAAACATTTACAGTGGGAGGTGAGGTCTGCACTTCTGGTGCCATACACAAAGCTCACCAGAGCTCCCAAGAAGTGCTCAGAGAAACTTGGGTTGGTTTTATCATGTATGGTCCCACAGGAAAAGCTGCTTTGACTATACCAAAATGGCATCTTCCCTCATTGCAAATCCATTGTTATACCAGTGGTCTGGGTTTATTTTAATGCAACATTTCCAGCTAGCTTTATCAGAGAAATTTCTCTCTTTCTTAGAATGTAAACCTTCTCATAAATGTATRTCTCCCATGGCACTAATTTGGTAAAATGCTGCTGTAAGTTTCATTTTGTCTCCAACTGCGCAAATGCCTGCCAAGGAGTAATTAGGCGTTGTAGCCTGAGCTCAGTGGAACATTAAATGCTGTAGTTTAGTAGTCACTTTGCTTCGTTCTGTGCTCTTGCACAAATCTCTGCTAATCTACATAAGTAATATGTGCGCAGGCTTCCAGGAACCGTGCACATTTGCCATTTCGAGCTTGGGCTAAATGCTCACCATTGCTGTATTTTTAGCACCTCATGTTTTAACCAGGAAGGCAGCGTAAAGGTTATCAAGTTCTTCCCTAAAAAAAAAAAAAAAAAAAAAAAAAAAAAGGCATGTGTGAGAAAATACCACTGGTAATGTTTATCCAGAATGTAAAACATGGTATCAGAATAAGTCATATTTTTCTTGGCTTCTATCCAGAACAGCTGTCAACAAAAGAAAAGTGTATAGGGTTAGAAGGGAAGAAGGCTATGGAAAAAAAAAAAATTGAGGCCCTTTGTTTTCCTTTTCCTGTGAGAAAGAGTCTTCCTAGGCATATTTGTAAGTCATGTGAGCTACTGGAAAGTACCAGACCTTCACCTCACAAAACACATTGCCTATTCTAAATTCCCAGGGGTAAGAATTTTAAAAAAAGCCTTGTGATTAATCTATGCCTTCTTTGGCTTGCTTTGTAGGTGAGTTTGGAGATGCATTAAACTACAGCTCTTTTAGAGATTTAGAAATGCGAAAGAAAAGATCCGCTTTTTCTGAAGCTCCCTCTGYAGCAGCAAATAAGAATCCTTTCATTTTCACTGCATTGTTCTCTTTCCTTCTGAAAAAAAAAGTCTATGAATTGGATAATATTATCCCAGTTGTCTAAGTAGGGAGATTGAAGGTAGGGTGATTGAGAGGCAGATTGTGTATAGTCACTGCCTAAGTGCACAGAGGATAATGAAAGAGACCACTGCTCACTCTTGTGCCCAGCAAGGAGAGGATAATTTTGCAATGAGGAGTCATTGAAAGATTCCCACTGATAGACGTGAGAAAAGAACTGGTCAGTGCAGTGCAATGGACCTAAACCCATGTCTGAAGCCCAGGAATGCTTGTTCCCATCCTAAATATGTTTTTCTAGATAAATTTCCCATGAAAATCTCAACCCGATTATTTCCTGTAGAAATTCCAGCATGGACAACCTTAGTAATAAAGATTTTGGCTGTATTGTAGAGCAGTCAGGCAATTGAAAAATACAACCAGGTACCGAAAAGGTGGTGAGCTGGCATAGCCTTCATGAAATTAGGTCTTGTGAGTTGACACACTTTTCTTCCAAGGCTTTGGAAACAGCTTCTCCACAGCAGTCGGAGAAAGAGTGTGTGTGTCACTGATTTGCCTCCAGCTGTGTACAACTATTCTGCAAGACCAACTTTGTAAAGAAGAAAGTGATGTTTGCCTTCCATGATGGATAGACCTGTTGCTTTGCTGGTGCACGGTTTGAATGGTTCTCCCATTGGAAATGCTCTCTCTGAGCTTGCAAATAAATTGTTTTAAAATGCACTCAGAGGAGAGTCTTTTTTARTAATTTTATGAAACTTTCTACTGCAAGAACAATATCAAATTCAGTTAGTTCATTCTCTCTGCCATCTTCATGTTAAGAGTTTTGTTTGCCAGTCTTCTCTCCTGATTCAAATGCTGCAGTAAGTGTAAATCTTTTTGTTAGATTGCTCAGATGAGTAATCCCATTGATTGGTGTGTGTGTCTCAGGGTGCAGGGGGACTGCAGTCCTACAGTGCCAGGTGCCTGTGTTGGAGACTTTAATAGATTTGCACCACCATCCTCGTGATCCATCATGGGGAAAGCTCAGCTCACCATGAATCTTACGGTGTGGATGTTGAGCCTGAGCACTGTTMGATCACATTGGTTTGTGGGGATGTGCAGGGCCTGTCAAAGCTCAGGCCAGCAGCAGATGTTGGAAGTAATTTTATTGCAGTCACAGAGCACCATCTCTCTTCTTCTGTGTTTAAAAAAAAAAACCAAAAAAACCAGGTCTGATTTCTGCCTTAGGTTCCAGTTTAGAAAGCATCTCAGTCATATATCAAGCCTTGCTATCTTGATTTAATCCCATCTGTGTATTCAGATACACAAGAGTGTGTGTATGAAAGTTTTGGAAGGTTTCCTTGGAGGTGTACATTGTTGTTTTCATTGATGCCGTATTCATGAACTCAGCTTTGTAATGTCAAGGTAGTTTAGATACAAGTAGAAGGATCAGACTGCAGGACTACCACAAAAGACTTAAAGAAGAGGTCAATGCTAAATAAATAATGAAGTAAAATGAAATAAAATACCCAATGTTTCATGTGCTTTCAATTGCTCCTGGTGTGAGCAAGGGAAAAAATCGAACAATAAAATAGCAAAAAATGAAGCTATATTGTTGGACAATTTAAACCAATTTCAGGAAACATCCCTGAAGTTTTATTCAGATTGCTATCTTAAAGAGAAGAAAAATGGCATTTTTCAGGTAGTGTTTGGTAAACTAACAAAAAAGTCTGTCATCTGTTACTGTATTTGTGATTAAGAGTATTATCTTGAAAAGGGCAAATCTGCTTCACTCARCCAGAGTTAGTTTAAGTGTAGCTAGAATGGAAAGCTACTTTTTCACTAGGCTAATCACAAGGGCAAAACTTAGATGCAACTTAGACCACAATGTCTTAAATGGGGAGTGGGGAACCGAAAGAAACAAAACGTCCAATGTGAAATTCTAGTTTCCATGATTTASATTAAAATGTTCTGCTGATGAAGACTTTTCTCTCTAAGAAAAAAGAGGACTATTGTGTACCAAGTTGCCATATGGATAGTTATGTGGGGTTTTTTTAATTTTAGTTATTTTTTTGTTAGGATTTTTGTTTGTTTTGTTTTCTTTTTCTTTTCTCCCTGTAATAAGCCAAAGCAGCACTTGGCGCTCATTCTGATTTCAGACTTGTCTTAGGTCATTGTACAGCTTCATCAGTTTTCTGGCAAAATCAGTTCCCTTGATACGTTTCATTAGAAACTGCTCTCAAGGGATTAGTTTCTGTTTTCTCCTTCCCTCCCATACGTTAAGATTCAGTGTGATTGTCTAACAGTACTTTGGCTGTATTTATTTTTCATTACCATGCAATTTTTATTTAATTAATGTGCATATATATTGCTACAGTGGGTGCACAGAATGGYTAGTGGTCTGCCTTAAAATTGTATGGATATGCAAAACCTCTGTCCTGGCAGATGCTGTGTTTCTGCAGTCCAGCTGAAATGCATACTTCACACTGAAGCCAGACCATTTCTTTGCAGGTTTTATTAATTCAGAAACTTTTGATTGCTAGCACACTGAGTTTGCTCAGGCAACACTGGGATCCTTCCTAGATGTGGATGTGTCAGTATGGWGGTGTGTGTCTCTAGGCATTCTTCATAGTTTGGGGAATGAACCCCASTGGAAGCAAAGGAGCTGAAATTTATAGTGTGTTTCAGAGCAGCAGTGCAAAGTGAAAGAAAGAGACCMAGTGATTTTATCCTCTTTATTTTAGCAGGCAAGACAAAGCAATGGCTTTGGCTAGGCATGAGAAYGGAGATACATTCATTGCAGCACGGCTCCAGCAGACTCTGGCTGACCTGGATGAAGATTTAGAAGGTAGGAAAGTGTGTGTTACCCTTGAAATACAAAATACAGAGACTGTGCTAGGACATGCAGAATCAAACTGGGCTCTTGGGACACCCATATATTTCTCACAAAAGATGGCTGGGAACAGCTCATGGGTGTGAGGSAGAATGTGGTCCCACAAAAGTGGCTCCTTTGCTTCAGGAGCAGACACCCTTTCCRTGCTCTCACTGAATCTTTTTCAAACTGCATATCAGATTGTCATTGTATTTCAGTGTCTTCTACCAAAAAGAGATGAACAGCAGTTAATGGACACATTTTATAGGCCAAATTTAGTATCATTTCATTGACTTCAGTGAAGCTAAATCAGTTGTGAATTCAGCTCTGTGATTAATGAAGAATCCCTCTGTTTTTATTTTATCATAATGAAGTGGAAAAGGATGGAACATTTTTGTACCCAGTGCCTCCTCTGTGTTAACAGGCAAATTTAAATGTTAAAAATGGAAGAACATGAATCAGTGGGAAGAGATAAAATGTCATATTGTGCTCCTCTATTTCCTACTGTGAATTAAAAATACTTCTCTATTAYTGGTTTGTCAACAAATGACATTGAATTTTTTTTTAACTTCCCATTTTCATTTTAATACTTCTGCAGTGGTCTTGACTCTGATTTGATTTCTTGTGAGTTCTCAGACACAGCCATTCTTTAGCTTCTGTGTTGTAACCTTTGATTTATACCAGCAAATTTGAAAGGATATATATCCTCTTGCACAATGAGGCTTCTGGTAATAAAGGGTGAGAAGAATGGAGAAAAAATAAAAGTACTGTTTCTTTGTTTGCTTGCCCAAGGAAATCCTTCAGCTGGGCTGTTGTTACTAACCAGGTCTGGGAAACATAATTTGGAGTTGCTTGCTGTTTCTCAGAAATATTTCTCCTTTGGAGTCATGTGGTGAAATGTTTATCAGTGAGATAAGTTAGTGAAAGATAAGGTATGAACAATAGATGAAATTCTGCTTTCAGCTGCGTTTGTATGTTTCCCACTGGCTGAAGCAGGAGAACTGCAGGAATATTTTGTGATCCTAATCAGCGAGCAGACAATCAGAAGGACCCAGACATCTCCTTTATTTGTAATTCAGGCATAAAAGAATGCCTATTACTTTCAGTGTAACTAAAATACCCGGTTTGCCTAAGCTTGTGCTGGCTGTTTGTGTAATTTATAGTCATATTGGCTARATACTGCCTGTACCTAACATTGTGCATGTGTTTTGCAGCAGTGGATGGTGTCAGTAACTCTGACTCTGACTACGCCAGTGAAGCCTTGARCCCACACATACGGAAAGTCGAGGCTGCCCAAGATGTTTCCAGTTCTGTTCCRGTGACAATCATCGATGATGCTCCGGAAGTCAGCACCTATAACTCAGATGACAACCAGGAGATGGAGATTAGGGTTTCACAGAATATCTCAGCTGGTTCTGTTAAYGCAGGAAACTTCACAAATAGAAACAACAATGCGGGTTCCTTTGATAAGGGACACACAGATGGTGGAGCTGTATACATATCCAGGGACCTAATATATCAGCAACCATCTGAAAATGATTTCAGTCACTGGCCTGTGGAACAGAGGAGAGATATCTTTGAATCTCTCACATCCTCCTTTGAAAAAAGAAGTGAAAAGAACTTAAGACTGGAACTCTCTCCTAAACATGGTATGAAGTCTGAGGAATGTAAATCTAAACTGAGTCCATCTCACTCCAGGGCCACAACTGAAATCAGTACAGCAAAAGAGAAGCTAAGTCCATTTAATGAATGTAGTATCAGGGAAAGATCTCTGAAAAAAAGTAAATCAGAATTAGAAATCAAATGGCCACCAGCAAAAAAAACGGAAGTAGAAGAAGTCCCATCAACACCCATGTGGTGTCATCGTGCCCAGAATTCAGGATCAAGCTATGAACCTAAAATGGGTTTGACAACATTTAAAGTTGTCCCTCCCAAACCTGAAGTAAGACATTTTGATAGAGGAGTTTCACTCTCCACTGGTGCCATTAAGATAGATGAACTAGGCAATCTTATTGGCCCAAACACCAGTGTTAGTAAGCATGTACAAGGGTCTTCTTCTGATGAAAGTGCGGAAATTCATATTGGGAGAGTGAAGGCGTTCTGGAGGTCGAGTTCTATGGACAAGCAAAGTGATGACTCTGCTGAGCATTTTCCTAAAAAGTCAGGAGTCACCACAAACTCTAAGCCCTTTACTGTGAAACCCGAACACAAACCYGTCTCTCCTGCAGCCCCAAAACCTACAGCACCACAAACTGTTACTACCCAGGCAGCTGAAAGACARTCTGAGAACGAAAGGACCAAACCAACTCCWGCAGCTCCACAGTCTCAGGTAACACCATCAGCAGCCCCAGCCATTAATAAGGACAAGCTGGAACTCCCGTTTGTAAAGCCACACAGGAGAACTTCAAGTCAGTATGTCGCCTCTGCCATTGCGAGACACATCAATGCAACCACCTTTAAATCTGACACCGCCGAATATAATGAGAAAGACGAAAACAAGCAATGGGCGGGAGAAGTTAAGAATGAAGCAGAAGTTTCACCGAAAAGATGTATTATTGTGGCCAAATACAGCCCTGTGGAAACAGAATCAACAGAAACAAGAGAAACGTTTTCAAGTACTTTTGCTTGCAGTCAGAAAGCATCCCACAGATTTACACCTGGTGATAATTCTGGTGTGGAAAACAAAGTAGTTAATATCAGGGCACCAAATCAAGCTCCTCTGAATTTCTATAAAAAGAATGCCAGTGTCCCACTTACTAAATCCTCTTCAAAGGATAACAACAGTGCAGAAGATGATCATGGTTTAAACAGCAAACAAAGTATAGCAGAGAAAAAGTCACGTCTTGCGTTTGACCAGAAATGCGAGACTGTGAGCCATACTAACTCAGCCTCATCCCTCAGGTCTCCTGATCTCCAAGGAGCCCCATCCTCTTTCAGCACATCTTTGCGAGTCACTAAATGGCCTCCTGTTAATGGTGTACAAGTTAATAGTTCACTTAAAGCTTCRCCTGAGCTAAATGGTGCAGCAGCAAATGCAGAGTCAGAACAGGAGGAGAAACCCGATGATTCGGATACCAACACTGTCGGTGAACTGGATGTTAATGTGCAGACCAATATCTTCGGACCAAAGAAGAAGTTCAAGCCTGTCRTCCAAAAGCCGGTTCCAAAAGACACATCATTGCACAGTGCCCTAATGGAAGCCATTCAAACAGCAGGGGGAAAGGAGAAACTCAGAAAGGTAAAGTGGAAACTTTTTTTAACTTGTCCAGATGGCAGAGCCCTGTATTCACCCTGTCAGACACCAGAGGTTTGGTAACTTTCTGGTGAGATGGACAACACAAGAAATTTTAAAGATTTATAATGGCAAAATGCAGACCAAGCTGCTGCTTATTCTGCACATCCTGTATATTATGCAACATCATGGCTGCWCTGCTAGCTGGAAGAGGCACAGGGTGCATGGACACAGATAAAGGAGAGGTAATTGAGGTTAGTCTAAGAGCCAAACCCTTATTTCAGCATGTTATGTAAWAACAGGAACACACAGCATGGAGAAAACTTGTAAATACCTGCAGTGAAAGAAAATTGCATTTTGTATTACTAGGGGATAATAGAATGCTGCTGACTTCATGCTCAGGGGATATGARACTGCATCTCTAAGTACAGCATTACTATTTACACATGCCCTCACTGTTCAGTGTACGCAAGGTTTTACAAGCAGGCCCAAAAAAAGACAGACTGATTAGTCTTCATAGTTTGCATTCTGATACATATTGCCAAAAAGTGTTTCCAAGCCATCTCTAAGTAAATATCTAATAACAATATGAGGTTTATTCCCTTCATATTCTAGGTTTCACACAGTGCACTAAATGGCAATCACAGGAAACCCTCATACACTGAGCCAGAGAATGAGCGTTCAGCCCTACTAGCAGCAATTAGAGGCCACAATGGCTCAAAGCTAAAAAAGGTAAGAAATCAAGATGGTAAGTGATCTTTGAAGGGCAGTCTTTTCCTGACTGAATGTTTTGAATAAACCAAAATACGYTGAGCTGCAAAGACAGAAATTGAGGGGTAACCATATGACAGAAGACCAGATCTGAGTTAGGCAAAGAGCATAGCATCTCTTTGGTTCAATTCTCTGCTATAAAATTTAAAAGCCTTTCAAATAGTGTGCTTTTGGCTTAGAAAGAAGCATGTAGAAATCCAAACCAATTACAAKGGAGTGTGCACAGAAGTCGTCAGATGTTCATTATTTTAGTTTAGCTTTGTAGAACTACAGAATGGTTTTGCTTGGAAAGGACTTAAACATTATCTGGTTCCAACCCCTCTGCCTTGGGCAAGGACATCTCCCATTAGACCAGGTTGCTCGAAGTCCCATCCAACCAGGCTTTGAACACCAACAGGGATGGGGCATCCACAGCTTCTCTGGGCAGAGAGCTGTTCTTTGGGAATTTGAAGTAGGATTAATATATTTGCATTACCTACCATATGTATCCAATCCCAGCTGCATGCTGGGGCTTCTTCCTATTTGCTTCCTATCTGCTAACATGATGCAAGTTGTGTGCWAGTAATCAGTGTTGATGTTTCATCAACATTCACCACAGCAGGATGATTCCTGCTCTCTGAAAGATTTACCTAATCATTAAAGCATCCCTTATTCCTAATAGCCAAAACCTGCATTGTTCTAGCCTTAGTTTTCACTCACTTGACTAATCCGGCCAAAGATGTGTCCTTGGCAAGGAGATTCCCATTTCCCTCGTGYAATGACTCAGTTCATTAGCACACATCCAGATAGCTGGCATTAGATAGAAAAATTCTCTTGCCTGTGTTAGGGAATTACTTCACCCCTCAAATATTCTACTGCCCTTGCTCCAGGTAGGGCACAGCTTCCTCTGAGCCTGTGAGCAGGATGTGCTAAGCAGCAGCAATCTTCACACGTGCTTAACTGCATTCTGCATTCATTAGCAATAAATGGCAATTTGTGTAAAAGAGGCTCTGACAATGAAGTCATCAYAGAGACTTTTTGGAGTACTTTCCTCTGGCAGAGAAGTTTTTGCCATGATTTTAAGGGGAGTTGCCTAGAAACCGTATGCTTTTTCACACCCTGTCACCTGTGCTAGTTAAATCAGTGCATTCATGCGTGCACAGGGAGCAATACAGATGTGCTGTGATGAAAGGGCTGTCCCTTTCATGTTGTCTCAAGTGTTCATCTTTCATCTAACATGACATGATGCTCATATATATATTGTGTGTGTAYAGGGAAGGAATAGAATGTAGGAGCGCTCTGTGGATTATTTGATGTGAGGTGAATCCTTTGACTTTTCACAACAGAAGCTCTGTGCCTCAGTTTCCCTTAGAAATTAATTATAATGAATCTGCTTGGAAACCTCCTATTTGGCCCACAATACTGAATTTCTTAGTAATTGCTGAATCATTGTAATTACTAACAATTCATCATGATTATTACCAGTAATGATATTAATGGCAAAAGTATGTCTTGACATACATTAAGACAGTTGATAGAAGAGCTGGCTTAKTCTGGAAGACTGTCTTCTCCTGCATGCATTTAAAGTAGGATGAGTTTCCAAGCTGGCAATTTGTGCAGAAATTTTCGTTTCAGAAATTCCACAGAAACACACTTGGAAGAATAATCAATTGATTTTGTTCTCAGTGTTTTCACATAGTTCTCACTGGTTGGTTTTTTTGTTTTTTTTGTTGGTTTTTTTTTCCTATGGCTGGAAACTTTATGTTTAATGGCTTTTTTTTTCGGTGAAGCTATGTCTGGAAGAGCTTCCCTGTCATCTGAGATTATTTCTGCACAGCCCAGACTGCAGAAAGTAATCATATTCCTGGGTGGCTACTGCAGCCTTAATATATCTTCCTGATTCTAAAAGCCTTGTGGTTGTTTCCAAATTAATACCAAGTCCAACTTTCTCTCTTACCTTGCATGCCAAGAAGAGTTACAGGATGCTGAAGCTCACAGTAAATAAAGATTGAGTTTCTGAGACAGACTCAATGCCAAGTCCTCAGTGTGGGTAATCAGCCCAGCTGAGTGATGTGAGTGAGTAGTAACAGATGTTCAAMCCCCTGAGCAAACAAAAGTTCTATGTGTTTTACATCATTCAAGCAAAGTGAAATCGGGGTACTGAAAGTGCATCAAATGTCAAATAATTACAGTTTAGCCATGCTTTGTATTAATCACCTTCTTTCATCTGCATCATGAGCAGACCTTCTCGCCGGCCTCTGAAGAGATGCAGCGTTTTAGGGACACGGAACAGTCCTCGCAGAAGGCCAATGGCTTTCAGGAAGAGCAGCAGTGTATCCCACCTCCCCCTGCCCAGCCGCCACCACCACCCCCCACCCCGCTGCCAGCAGCAGCTCCCCGATCCCCTGCAGCAGCCGCAGGGAACGCGGGCGACGCCAGGCAGGCGCTGATGGAGGCCATTCGCTCTGGTGCTGGAGCAGCAAAGTTAAGGAAGGTAAATGTGCTTTTCTGTTTTACTGTGTTTTCAGAACCATTTTTAAGATGTTCTAGACACACATTTCTTTCTTCCATCAGAAGAGGGTACGTACATTGTTTCCTCTAACTGAATCAAAGATAAGGAATATATTTGAAACCTTTGAACTGCTAATGAAACACACCTGTGTGTGTATGCAACCATGTGAACAGACAATACTTTTTATTAGAGACACCATCAAGAGCATGACTGTAATTTCAGAAAGCRTTTTCATGACCTTTTCATTCTCTATTATCTGAATGTCTCTATATCTGGATGTCCTTTACACAAGGTGAGCCTAAGAAAGATCAGATATGAGACCCTGAAGCAAATTTATAAATAAATGAATATTCTCTCCTAACTTCAGTATTGTGTCCTAGACCTTGATTCCCAACACCTAAACCTTGGTCACATGTGCTGASAGCTCTCAGTAAAACTGTGAGGTCGTTTTAATGTCTGCCTGAACTTTATTAATTGAATGATGCTGTTTCACTTTTCTGGTGAGATGTGAATAGGTCAGCTCCCGGATGGCTAAACTCTCAGTTGCCTGTGTGTGATTTTTGGAGTCACTTCACTTATCTCYTTGATCAAAGTTTGTTCTTCTCAATCTCAAGTTACACTGTGTTTCTTGGTAAAGAGAAGCAGATCAATTGTCCTTAGTGGAGGCATCCCAATATTACACTGCAGTATCCAAGAATAGACTTTGATCCAAGGACTTAAGGGAATGTAGAAAAGCAGATGTAGTTTTCCCAACCCATGATTTAGCTGATACCAGCCATAAATGTGTAAATAGACTTTAATCTTGCTAACTTGTCCTCTTTTAAATAATTTTAAAATCACTCAAATTTTAACATTCAAAAGTTGTCCAAAAAATCTGATTTCTGATAAATCAGAAATTCCACAGAATCATACAAATGGCACAAACAAATCAGTGTTTCAGGGAAATTTATATCAGCGAGTTCTCACTACATCAGGAATCTGGATTTGCAGTTAATTTTTCATGTCAAAATTATATCTGCTTTATGCACACAATTTGAGGAGCAGCAGAGCTCACACTTGGTTTGCTCAGCTCGGAGAAGGCTGAGGAGCAGTCTCATGGCAGTCAGTGCCTTCCATGAGGAGGGGCAGGCACGGTGTCCTCTCTGTGGTGGCCAGCAACAGATCCCAAGGGAATGGGATGCAGCTGTGTCAGGGCAAGTTCAGGTGACAATAGGAAAAGGTTCTTCACAAGAGGGTGGTCAGTCACTGGAATGGGCTCCTCAGGGAWGTGGTCACAGCACAAAGCCTCACAGAGTTCAAGGAGCAGATGGACGATGCTCTTAGTCATATGGTTTAGTTTTAGGCAGTTCTGGCAGGAGCGGGGAGTTGGAATCAGTGATCCTTCAGGGTTCCTTCCAATCTGAAAAATTCTATGACTTTAAGACTGCAAATTAGGAAGAGGTCAGGCCTTTATTTCCCCAGTTCACCAACTGACAGAAAAAAAAAATGGGACTTGGACATTCAAGGGTATTTCATGCAGTTGTTTTCTAGATACTTCCAAATTTCTTCTTCTTCCAGCAGCATTGCTCTTGCAGAAGTCTCTGAGGGGATCCATAGCTCTGCTCATGAAAAYAAGTCTTTATCATATCTTTGGGGATTTATTTCAAAACACTTGGATAACCAGTGCAGGTCATGAAAGTACACCAGATATACTGATGTATTCTGCTAAATACTGTGCCTGTCTTGTCTCATTTCCAAGGCACAGTAATTTTTGCTAGTTTTGACACTGAAACAACGGAGGAGTACATCTCATTATATAGGTCTCTTATGAAAATAAAAGAGAGCACTGTTTTGTCCAAGGCAGAGTATGAYTTTCTTATTACTGTGCTGTCCTTCCAGATACTGGATATGCAAGCTAGTCTTGTATATGCCAAARTCATCATGACACTTTGACATCTGAGATCTCATGCCCTTGATAACTGATTAAAGTAAAAATGTTGTCAGATTTCTGAAAACACTTTCAATCCAGTGTGTTTTAATATCTCTTCTAGTTCTCTGCATCATACTGAGAGCCAAATTCTGATCCTTCCAAGCAATTGGACAACTTGTGAGAGCAAAAGTTGAATCCATAGAAGAGAGAGAATACATTATAGCTGAATAACATGATTTTTTTTCCTTTACCAGCGTCTAAGGAACGCTGAGATTTTTGTAGGCAGTGGCTGACAGGTTGYTTTGTGCCAGGGCTAAAGCAAACTTTTTTCTTTGTTTTTGTTCTGTCAAAGTTCTATGATGTGATTTGGAAATGTGARCGCAGAGCTGGTTTTGGCTTTGCTTTCTGGAAGATTTTGGTTGCAGCAACTAGACAGCAGAGTAGGTAGTTCAGTTCAGTAATGGCATCTGTTTCTCTTCCATTGTCTTCTCGAAGTCTTCTGGGACAAGGGCTTCTGACAGTGAAGTCATTTATTTAGCTAATATTGTGGAGAACTGGGAAAAGTCTGTGTTGCTGACAGCAAAGTCATTTATTTAGCTAATATTGTAGAGAACTGGAAAGAATCTGTGTTGCATAGTTATGTGTGACTCGGTGCTTATTTATGTGGGGTTAGTTGCAGTGGAAGTAGATCAAACGGAGCTGTCAAAGGAAGCAAATGTAAAAAGCAACCAATTGCCTGGATAAGGAGCATCCCAACAAACATTTGAGCTCAAGTTATATCTGTGAACAGGCAGCTCCTCCACTCCTCCCCTGATTACACAGCTGTTTGCTAAAGTCATGAACTTTAAGGTTAAAAGATTCTCTGTGCAGGAAGTAAGGAGAGAAGTTGCTGCAGGCTGACCTTGCCTAGCTRAGAGTCGAGGTCTGCACAGCACAGTCTCTAATTGGGTCAGCCAAAACAAACCAGGGCAGAAATACATGCTTGAGGGAAATGCCAAGTATAGGTAAGACAGTATATGCACAGCTCTCCTGACTGTTCTTCAAACCATTTTTTGGAGTACTGTGCCTGTTTTGGCAAATAAATCACTCTTTTTTTTGCAAAAACTGCTTYTGTTTTATTGCACACTGTTGCTGTCCACAGACTCCTGAAGGAAAATTCTTGCAGGTGCCAAGCCCAGTTGAGCCTGCTCAGCCAAATGGTTCATCCCCAGTGCAGGGCAGCTCAGAGAGCTGGCAGGAAGTGGCTCCACTGCAGATCCCACCCAAAGGAAAGGGCGATACAGATGTGTTACACAAATGGGGTGAACTTAGCAACCTGGCAATGTGCAAGGAAGTAATCCTTTTCTTCAGTGTTAGAAGGGTCTGTCAAGGAACCTGACGGGTGTTCAACACATCCAAAGAGTAACAGCTATTCAAGGAGGTGGCGTTGAGTAATGCCACCACCCATGATGGCTGCCCTGGTGCGTTTGGTGGTTAACATGTGTCACTGGAGAGGACATGTGTCCCAGCCATGGAGAATCAGTTGATCTAGGAAGTAAACAGCTCATGGGAGACCAAATTTTGGCTAATTCTGGCAGCCAAAACTCAGGTCATAGAGCTGTACCATGCGACATTCTGATTTTAAAAGTGAACTAATGTTTTCCTTAAATTGTTCAAACTCTTATTATAAAGTTAAGATCTGTATGTACAGTTTTTAACTTCCTATTTCCCATCTCAGAGAAGGCAAAATAATGTAGATAGATTTCTGAAATCCTGCATATCGATGCAGGTGTATTTTTGCGTTTGTGTAACTTGCCTTGGGATTTACCATGATTATCTGTGAAAAAAAACCATAACTACACATGCAAATAACCCGTTAGAAGTCTAGCTGTAGGTATAGTYGCAGCACAAGTCCATGCAGGATTAAAAACCTTACTCAACAAAGAGAAGCTATAAAAGTTTCTTTAGCYTATATGCCATCTACTCTTTTTAGGTAGAGTTGTACCCAGGGATTTGGTAGAAATATTGCAGGGGAATGTGTCTGCAAATGGTGGGGAAAGCAAGTTATATCTCTGAAGAAGAGGCTGTTTCTCGTGGTAAAATTAGGTCTTCAGACCACTTTTTAATGGTACGTGCAAGGGAGATTGTGCAGATTGCACCTATTTTCCAATGAAGGTTGGAATTGCACCGAAGTAGCCTTTTCTGTTTGTTCACTGAGTTTTTAAAAATTAATTTGGCTCTGTCACAGTTCCCACAAGCATTCGTGGCAATGTTTGGCATCAGCATTAGGTCGTGTCAGCTCTTGATACGTGCGGTGTATCATTCTGCTGGCAATCGAAGGAGCCAGGTAAAATAATTACTGCACCACTTGCAATGAGTCCCTGGTGTTCTCTGGGATAATTTGGAGTTGGTTGTCAACAAGTAACACATCGATCAGAATTGTGGCATGTGGAGTGTCTTCTAGGAAGCATGGCCTAGTTCCATATCTTTATGTCAAGCAGTGGACTATTCTTCTCACATAAGCAGAGATGTATAATTGTGAATGAACAAATACTGTGCCTTATCATCAGTATCTGTGGGTGCAATGACAGAAATTACAGACTCAAAGCCACAGTTGATGTAGGGTTTGGTGTGCTGGAAATAAATGGGGCAGGAGGCTCCGTGATAAGGTTGGCCAAGCTTGATATACAGGTAGTCAAATGAGCCTGTAAGGTGATTCTAGTTCCCATGCCCAGTCAGATGCATTTGCATGCTGTTACTCAGTTTGAATTGAAAGATAAAACTTAATTTGAACTCTTCACCTTGCTAATAATTTATACCGTGACCTATTTTTCCCCTCAACAAAGGCTAAAACGGAAAATGTAGACTTGATCAAATGCATTATTCCTGTTTAGCTTTTGTGGTGACCTTAATGTATATCTTCCTGATAGAATCAAAGCTCAGTAACTTTGAATTTGGAAAAGCACCTTAGCATATGTATTTAAAATTAAGCATCTGCTTAGATGACCCGAGGACTGGGAAGGAAGATAAGCATTTGTATAAGTATTTTCCTGAATCAAAACCATTGGGAGTTTCCTTCACTTAWTCAGGAAGTACTCATCAATTGATTTTTATGGCCAGTGACAGCTAAGCAATATAGAACAGATTTTGACTGTCAGATGTTGCATACTTGCAGCCTGGGCTTCTGTTCATTCCACAAAATGAAGGAATTTCACAGAAAAAATGCATCGCCTATTCTCCAAAAACAGCACAGTTGCAACCATAATAGTTAAGCATGTATGAGGTGTGGATTTTTTAGGGAAGGATTGCACTTTTAATTAGACCAAATGATAAGCTAGAAAAAAAGCAGATAAGCTGAAGTAGTCTCAAGGAACAGATGAAGAGACCGAGCTTGAAAACAGCCCCAMGGGAGAATGTTTGGTTAACAATGTCAACATTTGGAGGTTTAAAAATACCTTGAATGATCATGTGCTTTTCTTTGTTACAGGTCCCTCTGCTCGTTTGAATCATGTAAAAAGAATAGGTAACTGGAAAATCTAACCCTGTATGCACCCATAATCATCATTCAAAGTCTGAAGTGGCAAAAAACATCAACAAGTTTAGTTTATTCTCTTGACTACAAGCCAAAATAAGTTGTAGTTAATTTTCTGTGTGTTCCCGCATAATGGTTCTAAGGGGAAAATACATTGCTCTGCTGTAAAGCTTCTGTGCCAAGGAATTGTGTTTTGCCTCTGAATATTTAAGGTTGCCAATAAACTATTCTTGTTGGCAGGTTAATAAGAATATAAACACTGCACAGTCCTGTGTTAATACTTAATTGTGTTTATGGGCAAAATTAAAAACTTTGCTAGCTATCTGAAAGTAATACTCATTTCAAGCTGTTAAAAATACGTAACTATTTCAAACTATTTACTTGCTTCTTTTTTGATTTCAAAAAGGGCTGTAATTGATTAGGGTGAAAACCAGAAWAAAGGTCTATAAAAAACAATCACAAGAAAAAAGTTATGATAGCTAAGTCGGCATATGCTGGGGTCAATGGTTTTTAAAATTGAGTTAACTTTGTATCTCAGATGGAGCTGTGAGAAAGCAGGCAATCAATAATGAACGTGAGACAGTGTCTATTGAAAAGTTACTTATGGGATATGATGTATAGAATGCTAATGTGCAGAGACATGCTGAACCCTGGTAACATTCCTGGCACTTCAAAAGTATTGGGCCACCTTAAAGGATCTCTGTTTGCAGCAGGCTGTGAAGGTTGCAAGCAAGATTCAGAGTCCTGCATAGAGGTCCAAGATGTAGAATTCATTCTGCACTGCGAAGCGAAGTGAAGCTGGTTTATATCAGTAACCAGGACTTTTGTGGTCTATTGTTCAGGTCATGCATAGGTTGGCCCTTGGTTTCTAATTCRTATGGCTGTTGTATGTTGTCTCACAAGTATTTATAGCAGCATCTTTTTCAAATGTTAACTACTTTGGTAGTTGTTGTTGTACATATTTTGAAAATATTTCGTTAAATTGATTAACTTAAAACAGACAAATGAAAATGCTTTTTCACATTTCCTATATTGTAATGAAACTGAAGAAGAGGAAGTTTGTACATTTACATTTTTATAATCACAGACTGGACTGGTGGCAGATTCTTTTTTTTTTTTTTTTGAGCTGGAATTTAAAATGTATAGCTATGGACTGTTGAAAGCCCGAGAATATGTAGCCATCTGCATTTAATGTGACTATATATTATATATTGTAAAATATTGATGTCTGTTAGTGCCACGAATAAAAACAAAATCAAAACCTGACATGACTGTAAAGGCTCTTTTTTGCCAAATATTTTCCATCACTAGAAGAAATTAGAACTAGAGAGGGACTTAAGCAAACTAGTATGCTGTCCTCAGTATCTTGAGTCTAACATAAAATATCTCAAGCAATGAAAGTGCTCACAACTTACAACTTAGAAATGCAGTAGAAATCACCAGCTAGGATGAATATGTGAGTTATATGCATTTCAACAATGATGAGTTACTGATAATGTTCCCTCATTAGGRATGCTTATGTATTCAGAATTAAGGTACTCTGTCACAACCTAGGATAAATAAGATCACCTTTGTTGATTGTGATTATCTTTTTTTTTTTTTTGTCTTTAAACTCTTCTGAGTATGGTCAAGATCAGAAACACTAACATGTTGAAAGTGCTGTCACAGAAAAGTATTCAGACACTTATAAGTTTGATGCTGTAGCTACTCCCACCAGCAGCAAATACTGCTTTCTTGACTGGCTGCTGCAAGACAAAATTCAGTGTATCTCTGCTTCTTCTTGTTCTTAGTGCAGCCTGAAGGCCCTGGGTGCGTAGCCCTTCTTTACGAACACCTTTATAGTATAATAAGTGTAATACTTTTCAATGTAAGGGCTTCAAAACTGGATTTTGGGACAATAACATCCTCTGGGTTTCACAATGCAAAGGTTCTGGTTCCATATGCTGGCATAATATAGAACTAAAGTTTCTAAGTTTTATTCATGGATAAACTTCTGAGTAAAAGCTGTAAAAACAGCTAGCCAAATAAGATGCCATCTTCACTTTAACAGCAAAAAAAATTTGCAAAAAATCCTGATGGCTCAGTCCCATCTCAAACTTAAAATGGAGGGGGAGTTCAACTACCTACCGTGGAAAGCCTATGCTGGGTGTTCATTCCCTTCTCGTGTTAATGGAACTTGTGTCAGCTCTTAAACTGACATCCAGGAACTCTTGGTAGGAGCTCAACTTAGCCACAAGTGAATGCAGATTTTACTATAAACCCATTTATAATGAAGACTAGTTATGGGTGTGACCCTTCCATAGAGTAACCTTCTGTTTATGCTTTTAGTAGTAATAATGGTTAGCTCATCCTGAGTTAAAATAAAAACCTTGAAATGTGTCTGGTAAAGAYGTGGTGCACTCAGCACCAAGTATTTTCAACTATATGATTGTTTTTACCGTCCCACACTGTTTGCTGGTGCAGACACAGCCCGTGTCTGGAGATGTCACCCACGTTACACCCTGACRTGTCCTGCCATGACACAGTCTGCAAGCTCCTTTCTTTTTTGAAGGACTGCAAGAAGGAGAGGGAGTTCTCTTTTTCCTTAGTACTCCTYGGCCTAGATTGTCCCTACATACTTTTGCCTAAATTCAGCCAGAGGAGATGGTTGTATGCCAGGTTAATACAGACCTTTGTATTTTCTTTTTTAGTAAGAGATTGAAATTAAATGAAAAAATGGTATCACAACTGAAACTGAATGGAGATTTTTGATTTGGTGTCTTTATTTTTTGTACAGGTATAAATTAATGTTCAGAGCTTAGAGAAATCTGATCTCATGTCCCAAATAAAAAATTCTACTTCTTCCCTCTTTTTTACATGTTTGGTTTTTGNTTTTTTTTTTTTTTTTTTTTTTTTTTTTTTTTTTTTAACTTGAGTTCAGAATATTACTCAACCATTAAGTAAGCATTAAATCTCTCTGATTAGATATTTAATTTTGAATAATACTGGTTGTCTACATGAGCTATTTGACTTACAGGACTTCATTATAGATTCTTTTTCTTGTAAAGACTGCCTGGTTATGTTAGTCATGCAAAGTATCGGACCAAAAGACCTTTTGACGTGCACATCAATCTACAGAGTTTCAAACATGGCAGGGTTCTAYTTCCCCAGCTCGTACAAGTGATTTGCACTATTTATGCTACATTTGCCACAGCCAAAAATTGGCACTTCATCAGTGTGTAGGAGAAAGAAAGAGAACAAGAGATGCATTTATGAAACAATGGGAAACGACATCCCGAGATCGTTTTCCCTCTAACCTCTCCAGAAAAGAAAGAAGCAGTTCTATTGTTGAGTGCTGCTTAGCATTAAGCACAAGGTTTAATTTGAATCCAAAGATTTGCACGAATCTTCATTTGAATCAGTTTGTCTGAATGAAATGTTTATAAATTGGTTCTTTGTTGGTGCAGTATGAAAAATACTTGTCTTCTGCAACCATYAATTAGCAACTTTTACATATTTATTTATTTGTATGTATTGTTTCTCGTCTCTAATCCTCAGTTGGGTTACATATGCATTGTGTGCACCAACGTGCTTTGCCTGTGAGACTTCTGTTAAGATTTATTAGACTATTCCCATTGTTACTCTATTTGTTGCTGCTGAGCACACACAATAAAATATGCCTTGCCCCTGCTATAGCTTTAGCTGCCAGAATGGTTGTATWTGCCTGCTTGCAGAAAATGACCTTTGCAATGATAGAGTTCTTTTTTAAACATAAAATGAAATGAAGTCCTGATTTTTCAATAACATTCACCTGRATTTGGTGCATAACTGTTTCTATCTGTTACTCTTTTTTGTTGCTGAGTAGGGTGTGGAGTTTGCTTCATTGTTGATGTCTTCCTTTGGCTGGAGAAAGTTTTGGTGTAGTTGCATTCCCAGGGTTGTTCATCAAAGTAAGTTGTTCATCATCATCCATGGCAAGATGGATGAACATTTCTAAGAGCAAAAAGGTTACTTTTTTTTTTTTTTGTTATTGTCATCAGATACTATTAAGTATTTGTTAAATAAATATAATTTGCTTAAGTACTAACAGGCTACATGATACTGCACCAGATATAAAAGTCGCACTCTCCTGTGTTTGTCTACCAACTTTTTGTTCTTGTTTAAACAGTTTCTGATTTATTGCGGTATTGAAGACTTCAAAAAGAGAGAGAAAATAGAACTACTTAACAGGAATATTGTGTTTTTCACACTTAAGGAGTTTAGGAACAAGCTCGCTTCCATAGTCTGTTCCCTCCCATCACTCATTCCATATGTACAGGAGCACGCGCGCACAGAGTCTCCTTCGTCATTTCAGAAGGTCAGGAATAGTTAAAAAAGCATCTTTACCACGGGATCCTTTTCCATTTTTAACAGTAGCTTTTTTTGTCCTGTAAAATAGGAACTTCCAGAAAATCAGGGACTAAGTTTTGGCGCAGTCACAGCAGCTATACGCAGTCACTGCTGGAAGCAATGTCAAACCCAGCTCCAGATAATGCTGTCTTCAGCCAATTTCTTTTCCTTGGGGTTTTTTTTTTTTTCCTTCTTTGCTTTTTTGTCTGTGTACTGATAAAAACATGTACGTGCCATGTCTCTTTTCTGAGGTCATTATTGTGCTTGAAGCCCTGAAAGGTTTTCCCCTGAACAAAGCAGAGTGGTGTTGCAGTTGAACACCAGACTGAAAGAGGACATTTATTCATACACAAACACCACTGTCCAGTTTGCAAGTCAGGAGCTGGAAAAGGAAACCTTATTGAAAGAACAAGACTGTGGAACATCATTGTCTTCTACATCAGAACCTGTGTTTACTGTAATAGGAACAAAGCAAACACAGTGCAAACAGGCGTGGGCTTCCTTTGTCTTGTTCCATGCATTCAACAGAGGGGTTTCTGTCAGGAGCACTGGCATCTGTCCCTAGTAGTGCTTGGCACGGGTCAGTGGGTCACAGCTTGAGGTGACACTGATTTGGGTGGCACCACTGATGGGCTGTGTTGCTGATTTGGGCTTTTTTTGCTGGTTGATAAGCCAAAATGTGGTTTGATGTGGCCGRTACTCAAGACTGCAAACCAAGTGTTTGTGCTGTGGCAATGAGTAAAAGCTCCACATGGGGACCACAGGTGAGGTGGAGAGTGATCTTTTATCCTGTGATTGCCAGCTACAGCTCCCAGATGCCAGTATCCAGTGCAATCTCATCTTCTTCAGCCTGAGGTAATCATAATGGGAAAAGGAGAGGGAAATGGATGCACCCGCCCTCTGACAGATGAAGCACATGCAACCCAAAGAGCTACAGCCCTCCCCGCCCCAGAAACATYTAACAGTGTRAAGGACAYGCAGGAGGTGCCTCAGTAAGMRGCAGGCCCACCAAAACTACTGAAAKATCTGGATTTCGGAAGTCACCAACCAGATCCTGAGACTGGACATGTCTCTGCTGATGCAGCAACCAGCTGGGTTGACACRCTCAAGACCAGACTCAGACTCTCCCCACTATGGACCCTTTGCTGCCAAAATTCAGCCCTTAAATCCTTCAGTYAGCCTGGGAGGTGGGTGGGTACCTGGCACATCCCCAAACAGCCAGCACCAAACCCAGAGCAGTGGTTTGGCTGCCTCCACGATGCATGCTTCCTCATTCATTAGCCTCWCTGCTAATGTTCCAAACTTCCCAACTTATGGAAGGAACTGTCAGAGGCAATTTGCAGACAGCCAGTGCTGCAAAACTGCAAAGAGTTATATTTTYATGTGTTGATGAATAATTTAGCAACAATTCTGTGTTATGTAAAATTACTGCTTTACTGCTACTGGGGCCAATGTTCGTACAAAGTGTTCTAAGCCCAGTTATACAAGTTAAAGCTTGCTGGTTTTATCCTATGTATCCATCATTAGAAAWAATTCTTCCAGGTTCAAACTGGGAACCAGAACAGGTCTTTCGTTCCAGGAGAGGGAAGTTCCACATCCTCATTCTCCTTGGTAGTCCTGATTATCCTACCTGTTTCCAAATAGTCAATTTTGCACTGGGTTGTGTAGTAGTKCTGGTTTTCCCTGCAGAGGAGGATACAATGTAATACATTTCCATATAAACACCATGGAAATCATCAATCCTCACAGACCTTTGCTTTATATTACAGAGCAACCTAAGGCACATTTTCATGCAGAGTGACCACAGTTTTCTTCCCCCTACCCTTGTGGAAGAAGCCTGTGCACTTATGTGGGCAGGGAACACAGAATATGGGCAGATGTAGATATATCTGGTTTTGGTTTCCAGTTGGAAATT